TTCGTCTCTGCAAACATTTTTTCCTCCTTCCCCCAGCCGGTCACACGTGTTGTACCCGAGGACTTTATCTTTGGCCGCCTCCTCTTCCTAATCTACATACTTACATCTCGCCAATGTCAGCTGCAGACACGGAGTCAACTAACACATGTATACACCCAAATCTATTTCTCCTCCAACTGGGACTGCACATCTGTTGATGTCCTGTCAGTTTGTTTGGCAGACATCAGGATCTGGATGAACGCAAACTTCCTGCAGGTAAATGTTGAGAAGGCGGAAGCCATACACTTTGGCTCCCATCAATGTCTTCTCTCATGCAGCTCTGACCTTCTCCACCTCCGTCACATTGCCCGACTCTGACTGTACCTTGCCCCAAATGCACGCGAGACACTCATCCATATGTTTGTCACCTCCAGCCTTGACTATTCCAGTACTCTTCACTCCAGTGTCATCCCAGCTTCACCATCTTGGATCCACATCCAGTTAATCTGGAACTCCACTCCCCGCATACTCATCCGCACTAAAGTCCGTGCCCTCATCACACCAGTTCTTGCCATGCTGGCTCCCTACCACCCAATGGATCAATTTCAAGATCCTCACACTCGTCTTCAAATTCCTTCATGCCCTGGCACCTCCCTACTTTCCAACCTCCTTACTCCCCAATCCACTACCCATCACCTTCACTCGACTGGCTCCAGCCTCCTGCTTGACCGCCGTGCCCTCCATTCCTCCATTGGAAGTCACACTTTCAGCCACTATGCCCTGAAATTCTGGGATTTTGAACTCGATCCTCTTAGATAAGAGGAGCCAGTGGAACCAGGTGCGGATGGGGGTGATAAGGTAATGGACCTTGGTGCGGGAACAGACACGAGCTGCAGAGTTCTAAATAATCAGCAATTTGTGGAGGGAAGAGTTGGGAAGACCGACAAGCAAGGAGTTATCATAATCGAGCCTGGATGCGGGCCTCAACCATTCTTCTTGACAGCCTGTTCCAGTCATTAACTACCTTCTGTGTAAAGAAAAGCTTCATGATAAGTATCCTGAAAAAAAAATTGGAAGTTGAAAGTTGGTTGGATTGTGATGTTCTTATTTTCCAAGTTTACAAGTGAGCTCATGTCTGCAGATGGGTCAAGGCTGAGACATCTGATTGTGGCCAATGCTCTCACACTTTTCGTGCTGAGCTGTGTTGCTCACTAGGAAGCTCGCAAGGAGTTCTTGGTTCCTGCCATCCACCTTGTGAGGGCTCAAAACAGCGCTTATTGGATGTTTGGAAGATCGGATGCTTCGCAAGATACACTAGAAAGTCATTCTGAAGGATTGGTGGCCAGGACACCAGGTGAAACTCCCTCTTGTCTCGAAAAGTGCCAGAGGATCTTTAACTCCAGCTAAACAGGGAGATGAGGCTTCAGTTTAATATTTCAATTGTAACAATACAATACATCAGAAATGGTAATAAAGCAATGATTACTATTGTGACAGTTTTCAATGGGATAGATAATACTACTTACATTTTATATAGAGCCTTTAACATAAGATTCCATCCTTGAATGGTTCAGATCATATCTCTCACATTGGCTCCACTTCTCCTCCAGCCCCCGCACCGTCACATGCGGTATTCCTCAGGGCTCTGTCCTTGGTCCTACCCTCTTCAATCTGTATATGCTCCCTCTTGATGACATCATCCGCAGACATGGGGTCAACTTCCACATGTATGTGGATGACACCCAACTCTATCTCTTTGCCTCCACCCTTGACTCCAGGACCATTAACTGCCTGTCAGACAGTAGGTCCTGGATGAGAGCCAACTTTCTACAGTTGAACGTTAACAAGACTGAGTGGCCCACGCTAGTGCCACTGCATCTCAGGCATTGGCAGCATCAGCATCCAGGAGTGCACACTTCACCTCACCAAGCCAGTCAGGAACCTGGGCATCCTGTTCGACCCTCAACTGTCCTTTCTCCTCCATATCTGTGCTATGACCCCCTCCGCCTTCCCCCACCTCCGCAACATTGATCTACTCTGCCACTGCCTCACCCCTCGGGTTGCCGAACTCCTCATACATACATTCGTCACCTCAAAGCTTGACTACGGAAACTCTCTCCTTGTCGGCTTCCCCAACTCTTTCCTCCACAAGCTGCAGATCATCTAGAACTCTGCAGGCCGTGTCCTCTCCCTCATCAGGCTCCGTGACCCCATCAACTCCACCCACGCCTGGTATCACTGGCTCCCCATCCCTCAGAGGATAGAATTCAAAATCCTTGTCTTCACTTTCAAGGCCCTCCACGATCTTATCCCCTCTTACCTCTCTGACTTGCTGACCCCCTATCAACCTGTCCGCTCCCTCTGTTCAGCAGGCTCCAGTATAGACAAATTTACTTGACAGCACGTTACTTTCAAATATAGGTTTTATTAACATTTGTACAGACAAATCAGCTACACTGTATCCCTTATACAGATGTACTAGGCAACAGACAGAATCAAAATCGTATTACCCGATTCGACTCTGGGCAGTGGCAACATCTCCTGGAACTCCCACAATTCTCTTCCACTCCAACTACAGAAAGCCCTACTTCCTTACGGACCTCACTACTACTCTTTCATTTTTAATGGTCACTTTCTTATTGGAGGCAAATTCCCTCATCTCTGTACATATACATAGATAAAGTAGAATCGATATCTATTCACGAAAAAAAATAATAAATTGGTAATTTTCAATCCACGACTGTTTGCGGGACACCTCTGTGCGCAATTGGCTGCCGCGTTTCGCCCACAAATATACAGTCAATTCACTGTACAGTATATTCTGTGAAGCGCTCTGACCCTCTACACAACTACAACTATTTCAAAGTTACAGCTTTCTTTTATGTGTTCCTAATTCTGCCTCCACTTGTCACACAAATAACCCGCTCCCCCCCCCACCCACCCACCCCTTCGCAGGCTGCTTTGCACACAGAGAGATATGGACAACTTCTGGGCAGCCTTCCACAGCCTACTTGTTTCTCAACCTTGAGATCAGCATGTTGTCTGAGGCTGCAGCCGTTCCTTTCTGTGGTCCATTGTTCTTACAGTTATGCTCAAGGACCTGATTGCTCATTATTTCAGAGGAGTGAACATCTTCCCAGGAAAATATGAAAGGTAATCAGAAGCTAACCTCAGCCCAAAGCTACTTTTTAACCCTCAATCCTTCTGGAACATTCGGTTGTTGCTATCAATATACCAATGTATCCCGAGGTGAACGTCAGTATATTGCAACACTGGCATGCTCCATGTCTCCCGCCCTACCCGCCCTACCATCGGAGGCCACACTTTCACCCTCTCTGCTACCACCCTTTGGAACTCCATCCCATATTTCCTTCACCTTGCTCCCTCCATCCTCCCTGATCCCAACGCCCCCACCCCTCTCCATCCGCTCTAGTCCCAGTCCCTGACACTCAACGCCTTCGGATGTTCTCACGACATGAAAGACGCTTTACAAATGTAATTTTTTATTGCATAAGGGGAAGTTTCAAATTGCTTCACCAGATGTAAAGTGCAATGACTCTGCAATGTGTCGGTGTACGATGCGTGCAGCACTGTCCCCAAAAGAGCTGTGAAATTATCTGGGGAATTGTTGGACAGGAAACCAAAAGAAAATCCCCTCTTTTGAAATAGTGTCAACGGGATGTTTCACGCCTGAACATGAAGTCAGAATCTCAGTTTGACATCTCATCTGACAATACGGCATTCCACTGGCACTGCATGGGAGTGTCAGACAAACTAGAATGTGAGTTCAACATCCCGATCCTTTGCATCGCAGCAATAAAACAGGGTCCCATTTATTAAAGGGGCACACCAAATTTTATCGTTGTATCTGCTATTACCATCATTCCTAGTCAAATGCCCACAAGCATTAAAGCTCCTTTCAAAAGTTACCACAAAATACACTTCACTCTACAGAATATCTTGTACTTTGAGATGTCCTCCTGATGTAAAAAGGTGCGATATGAAATGTGAGGATTATAAAGGATTAAACCAATATGCAGAGTCCAGCTTGGCACACAGCAGTGTAATGGTTATTCTTCACTTGGCGAAGGTAAGAGATTTTCCTTTCTCAAAATGTTTGTTGCCATTTAATACAATTCTGTTATGTCCATTTCAGGAGGTTACCAGGCAACCAAGATGTCCCAAATGACTACAATATAAAAGAGTTACTGTGCAAAATACTATAGTGGGCAACAGTAAAAATCAGCTTCGAGACTATATACATATTCATGCTAATGTTCACTAATGAATATGTTAGCATAAGTGAAATTTTAGGAATTCACAGCAACAGATACAGAAACCTTATTGTGGCAGATGGAACAATGCTTATTTTCCCATGAATTACAAATAATAATAATAATCTTTGCATCTGATATAACGCTTTTCACGTCTTCTAGACGTCTCAAAGCACTTCACAGAATATACTGTAAAATTAATTGACTATATTTTGTGGGTGAAATGGTTAAAAAAATACAGAAATTCATACCACTTATTTGATTTATAATAATAAATACTCCTATAATCTTGCATTTGATATAGCACCTTATCACGTCTGTGAGATATCTCAGAGCTTGATTTGGCAGATGTATTGCTACAAAGAGGCGAAAGATCACAGAAATGCCATATGTCAAGATCAATGTTTAAATTGGCATTAAGCAGGGGAACTGACATTCATTACAGACGTCCTCCCACCCTGTCCTTTCCTGGTTTCATTGAGTATTCCTCAGCTCCTCCTTGCAGCCAATTGCGCACAGCAATGTCCCACAAACAGTCGTAGATTGAAAATGACCAATTTATTATTGTTTTTGGTTTTGGAGGGATTATTATTAGACGTGTGGAGTAAGGAAATTTGCCCAAGGTTTCGCCCTGCCTGGAATTGAACTCAGGTCTCCGGCTTGCAAAGCGAGTGCTCTGACAACTGAGCTACAGGACTCCACAATACTGGGGAGGCTGCCAATTCTTCCCAAGTTTCATATTTCAATTGAATCATTCTGTGACGAATCAAGAAGGAAGTAACTGGGTTACGCAGGTCTGAAGATCTTTTGCAATTTTTTAACCACAGAACAACCTCAAGATTGCATGCCAAGATAGTCAAATATTAGTCAACAAGAAGGGAGTTGTGATAATTCAGTGCTCTATACTTGGGACTTTAATTGCAACATAAAATGAAGAATTCTCGTAAGGATAATGGCAAATGTAAGTTTCAAATGTTATTTCTCGGTTTACAAATATGTGACCTGTCTGGATACTGAATGTAACCTTATTAAGTTTGGAAGAAGTTAGTTCAGCTGTGACCGTTATCAATTCTGAAATCCTTTTCCAGTTGCCATATTTGGATCTAATTTCTGCTGGTGATTACTGCTTTTAACATTGTTGACATCGTCTATCTTTCTCCATCATCTTTTTTCTGGTATATATTTTTGGCTCTGCAGTTTGCTGTTTTCACTAATATCTCTTTTAACAGCTTCTCTTCCTGCCTTCAGATGATTCTGTGCGATGTCCTCAGGGCTGTATACTCACTCACTATTTACAAAACACATCTCAAAACCTGTCTCTTTGATGCCACATTCAGCCATTCCCCTCTACACCCTACTACCCACTCCAATCTTCCTCTCAACTCTATGTTCCACGCGTCTTTGTAAAATGCTTTGAGATATTCTCCCAATGTGAAAGGTGCAATTTAATTTGAAAATGAGTGAGTACAGAGCTGGATTGTGCTCCTTAAGAGCAGAAAAGGTTATGGGGAGATTTAACAGAGGTGTTCAAAATTATGAGTGGTTTTGATAGAATAGATAGGGAGAAACTGTTTTCACTGGCCAGTGGGTGAGGAACCAGGGCACATAAATTTAAGATAATTAGCAAAAGAACCAGAGGCGAGATAAGAAGAATTTTTTTTACACAGAGCGTTGTTATGGTCTGGAATGCACTGCCTGAAAGAGTGGTGGTGTCGAACCCAGTTGCGATGTGCGATTGCTCTTGATGACCTGAAGCTCAACACGGAGTCGGTGCGGCATTTATTTAACAAGCTTTATTTCACATATATATATATGGGGTGCAGGGCAGTAGCAACGACTCTCTTCTAGTGCTGCTCCCTACTCTGCACACCAAATGGGTGAAAACATCTCACCTTTATACAGATCTCATTCAACAGTTCTGAGGAGACATTCTACATTGATTACTTTACAACGTCCTGTCTCGCAAGAGCTCTCGAGAAACATCACAAGGGTGTTAGATCTGTTTTAGGTCAACCTTATCTTTTAATAGGTTGTTGTAAAACTTTACAACAACATGCTTGATCTTACTTGCTCCTTTTGGCCTTTCATGCATGTGGCCTGCTTATTTGCTAACTTTGCACCAAAAGGCAGAATGTGCTGAATTTGCCTTCCACACTCCTCCCTTTTATCCCTGGGATAACCCTACCATGCTTTAGCCCTCAAGGGTACTGCTTTCCGAGAGGGAATCCGGAAAATCAAATGCCACCTTGAAGTCACATTCATCACATGTGGGAAATGGGCCATGGTGAGGGTTGACTTGGACCATGTTCATGGTCATCATGGTTTTTGTGGTCTTTTTGCAACACTGTGTGCAACATGTCAGGGCACACTTAGTGATGATAATAATAAGGACAAGAATTAGGCCTATTTCCAATAGAACCTGGACCGCACTGCCCAACCATCCTAGCCCCATACTTTGCAACCAATTACCCAGCCAATCCAATAATCCTCCTCCAGAATGTATAATGATATTACCCACATCCTGCCCCGTTTGGTTGATCTCTCTGGTAATATTCGAGATAGAACCAGAAAAATCATCAATTGTTATGCAGCACTCAGGTCCGATGACCTTGCACACTCCTCCCGTCGCAGCCAAAACATAATCGAGGGCCATACGGTTCTGCATGGCATATAGACGAATCTCAGACATCTCTTTGTTAACGAGAGCCAATGCCGCAGATGTTTCAGAGGCCAATGAAGAGACTGCTTGAGAGAGAATGGCAATCTGGTCAAGGGCGCACATTACTCTGTAATTAGGGAGAAGAGCCCCGAGCATGTGATTCCACAGGAGCATCTGAATGTAGACATTCTGTAAGCGCAAAGGTTGGGGAGAATCTGCTGATAAAGAGTCTCCAAACAAACGTAAGCGTGCAAAAGCAAGGGGATACATATCTGAAAAAGGGACATCACGAGGAGGTGGAACCAGTGTGGAAGGCAAAGGGGACTCAGCTAGACCCTTGCGCCAGCCCTGAGGAAGTTCGACATAAATTCTAGTCCCATAGGAACCAGGGCATAAAAACACAAACTGGGTTTTGTTGGAAAACTGGGCGCGCTCAGTGGAATATAAACAAGATTCGGTAAAAGTACATTCATAATAAAATGGAGCAGTAACACATTACCATGGAATTATTATGGACGGATTTACATTGACCAGAATCCTCAGGACAATTCAAATCGTCAAGAGTATGAAGTATCCTGAGTATTTCGTAACAAAAAATGAGCATTAAACACGGGAGATCGCTCCTCAAGGGGTACATCAGTATAACAAATGGCGGATGAACAGGGCTCAGACTGGTCATCGGATATGATGAGGTCTCGGTTTAAAGATATTAGGAGTTGATAGACACCCTCTCCTGGGATAAGAGAGTAAACATGACAACATAACAAGAACAATAAAACGCACACAGAAAACAACTTCATAATGACACAAAGTCCGTTCAAAAAAAAACGAGGAGGTGACAATCGTTAGGCATTTTCGCAGTCGCTGGAGTTCGTTGTGGCTTGCTTGCAGTGGCTAGCGTGAATCCACGTAGATCTTTCTCGAACCTTTACAGCGGTGTGGGTCACCAATAGAATTTGGAACGGTCCTTCCCAGCGCGGGCTTAGTCCGTTCTTACGTTTGAAGGTCTTGATGTAAACGAAATCTCCTGGCTGAAACTTGTGGCATTGATCAGATGCCGATGGATGTTGGAGCGCTCGGATCTGCGAATTAAAGCTAGATAGGGTTTTAGTTAACGCAATGCAATATTGCATCATCCCTTCCTCGAGGGCATGCACATCAGGCAATGGTTCAATGTGTGCGGAGAAAACCATGGGCATGCTCCTTCCGAAAATGATCTCAACTTTGCACCAAAAGGCAGAATGTGCTGAATTCGCTTTCCACAGTGGAAACTTTCAAAAGGGAATTAGATAAGTACTTGAAAAGAGAAAAATTGCAGGGGAAAGAGCAGGGGTGTGGACCTGATTGGGCAGCTCTTCTAAAGAGCTGGCACAGGTATGATGGGCTGAACAGCCTCTTTCTGTGCTGTAATATTTTATGAATCTATGGTTGCTTAGTGACAAATGATGCAAATAAATTAGGGCGAAATGTTAGATGAGTTTACTTCACACACCTCTGTTTACCTAGCAGCAAGAAGGAACCCGGCTGTTAGTTGATTGGCGGATCGCTTTTTCGGGGGTAATAATCCCTCAAAAAATATACTAATTTGGTTATTCAATCCACGACTGTTTGTGGGACACTGCTGTGTACAATTGGCTGCCGTGTTGTAGCCACAAAATATACAGTCAAATCACTTTACAGTATATTCTGCGAAGCGCTTTCTTAAAAATATGAGTAACATCTGCCTTTCTCCAGTCCCCTGGTACCACTCCAGTAAACAGCGACTTACTCCCTTAGTTCCTTAAAGGTACTTAGATGCAATTTATCCGGCCCCTGAGATTTATTTATCTTACATTTTCACAGCAATTTGGCAACCATGCTGTTAGAGATATGAATAGTGTTTCAACTTTTCTCTGTGACATCCTTTAGTTCTCTTCCAGATCGAATAAATTACCTGTCTTCTCCTTGGTAAAGACTGATGCAAAAAACTTATTTAGCATTATTGAGGCATGTGCAGCATTATTTGTCATGTTGTCTCCCGAACCCGCCTTCAGTGGCCCTATTCCATTGTTTGATTTTCTTCTACTCTTAATGTAATTAAAAAAAACTTGTTATTATCCTTCACATCTCTTGAGTTGTTCAATTCAAAGCTTTTCTTTGCCATTCTGATGCGTTTTTTGCAGTCCTGGCATGCATTCCAGTATTGAGTCTTATTTATTTCTGTGCCATTTTCCTTCATGGCCTTAAATGCTTTTATCTCCTCTTTATGATTTGCTTTGTAGCTCATCCAACCAGGCAGAAGTGCCTGTAAGCTTGGTACTTTTGCTTTGCATGGGTACACATTGTTCCATTGTCTTCATAATCTCTCTTTGAGGGGGCTCTGTAGGTTCTCCACTCCCATTGCCATAGTTAAGCCTGCCAGGCCTATTCCAACTAGATTTCTCAAGCACACAAAGTCAATACTCTTGAAGTTTGGCAGTTTTGTTTGGGTTTTTATAACCTCACCAACTCTTGTGATGTCAAATGTGAGTACATTGTGATCGCTGTTGCTTAATACTTCTCCCATATTTATATTGGAGATTTGGTTGTCCTTGTTGCTCATTATCAAATCCAAGATGTTATCTTCCCTTGTTGGCTCTTCTACGAACTGAATCATAACACAGTCTGTAAGGAAATAATGCTAATTCCTTTAACCAGATATCAGACTGTTTTATTATTATTATTATTCGTTCATTTTATTATTATTATTCGTTCGTTATTCTCCAATATCCCGATGGGTCAGACCAAAGGCCGGTACAATCAACAGATCTTATAACAGAATAACACCACTATAGATATCTCGAGTTCAAGAGTTCAACACTGTGTCTTTACAGCACACAAGCTTGATTCTTCATGCTTTCAGTCTTCTTGCTTACAGCTTTCAATCTTCCATCTGATATCCTCAGTCTTAGTGTTTCTAGCTCTCAGTCTTCCATCTCCGTACCCTTGTCTCCGCAACGCGGGATGGCCCCATCTCCCGTATCCTTGTCTCCACGACTCGGGACGGCCCCATCTCCAAAGTTAACGGAACTCTTACACCGATGTTCATCGAATCATAGTGCGGACATTAGATCACCTGGTCGAAATCATGCCGGGTGTACGTGAACACCTCATGGGGTGTACGTGCCTCAGCACACATACACATTGTCCTTAAGACCCCTGTTATCTGATCTAATTGTCTAAGATAGAGGATTGATCAGTTTAGGACTGTATCTGGTGCTCATTATTTTGTGGTGTGGGATCATTAGTACATTCCTTTTAAGTGACTGGTTATTTCTTATCGG